TAATAGTAATAAAGGAGTTTCTATCAGTCCAGTGTTCTTAAATTAAGAATTTGGGGAAAAAGTTAATAATTTACAGTAGGTATGAAGGACCGCATAGACTTTAACCTGTGCCTCAGGGTCAGTGAAGTGTATGACCTGTATAAGTTCTGCTGTGACCTTCTGCCCCAGCACAGCCTGCCCCAGGGGCTGCTCCAGGCTCCCCGAGCAGGAGCGGCTGTGCTCCCCCAGCACCAAGTCCTCCTGCAAAGACGAGAAGCTGTTCAGCCGTTGAATGAGTGTGGGCCAAGAAGCAGTCCCAGGGTTTTAAGATTGGGAAGGAACATTGACACAGCCACAGCAAGAGGGCTGAGAATAAACTCATGCACTCAAAGGTCCAAAGGGAGGGATCCCAGGCTAGCAATAGGGCAGGCAGCAGCTTTATTTTCCTCCTTGCTCAACACTGTCTGCCAACCCAACCTCTGTTCCAGCAAACCTGTCTCTGCCACAAGGCTGGGCCTGTGTCTTTCTCCATCCCTTTTCAATCTTCAGCTGTTCTAGCAAGCAAAGTTCAATGCAGCTATAGTATTCTCCCATCCCACATATCATCCTCCCTACATACTTTTCATGGTTTCTATATGTTGTCACTAATGGCCTAATTAACTCCTTTTGATAACTATGCAAGCTAATGAATTTCCTGACCTCTATGCAATTGGTCTTTCTAGAAGAAAAGAACCTCTCTCCTACCCATAGGAGATTCTCAGCAGCTCATAATGTTGGGCTTTTCAATCTAGCATTGGTGGGGATGCTGTTACAACATTACTGTAGTCATCAATGAATTTTGCCTTCACAGCAAAAGAGGGCTTTCAGGTTGGGGGTTTTGTGTGTGTGTGTTTTATATAAATACATGTATGCAGAGAGAGTTAGCCAGCCCATTGTGGAATTTTACTGGAGAGAGCCGTAGGCAGTTTTTACAGGCAGGGGAGCAGTGGTGGTAAGATTGTGGGATTCCTTCAGCCACTGGCACTGCCAAACACTTTTCTAGCTTCACATCAGGCCTTATTCTTCCCTATTCCTGCTTCCCCTGCCTGCTCCCTGGCTTTTTATTGAACAGTTAGATGTTAAAAACTGCAGTGCAGTCCATCCTACAGGATTCTGCAAAAACATGGCCATTTTTCTGTAAAAACACATTTTCCTGTTCTTAAATTGTCATAAACAGCATAAATTAGAATCATAGAATCTTTGGGTTGGAAGGGATCTTTAAAGGTCATCTAGTCCAATCCCCCTACAATGAGAAGGGACATCTACTTTATGTCCATTAATGTATATCTGGCATTCTGTTTGACTTTTTGTGTTTGCTCAGCAAGGTGTTGCAAATCAAGTAAGAAAAATGATGATAGTACAGAGTGGATTTCTTCGTTGGAACTGAGAAAGATTTTCATAGCATTGAAAGTGGAAGAACATTTTTAGAAGAATCAGTTATATCTAGTTCTAAGTTAAACACTTGAAAGATGGGTGAAATATGCCATGACACAGATATTTCTTTGAAATAAATCCTTTATTGCTTTTTACAGAGGTGGAAACTGTTCTATAGGACACACAGTAAAATGAGGAAAGGGTAAGAGTCTGTAATTTAGGAAAGGGTAAGGGTCTGTAATTTATATAGTTTTAGAGAGTAGCTAGAGGGGGGTAACTGATAATTCTGTACAACAAAGTGATAAAAGACAAGGAAAATTTATTCAAGGTTGCACAAGGATGTTTTATAAGCTGCTAATAATCTTACACTGAAAAAGGGGACACCGAGATTAGTTTTAATGAGAAACTTTCCAACAGAAAGATTTGACAGTGGAACAGTTGGTCAAAATGGTTATTGAACTACAATCACAAGAAGTGTTCAGGAAGAGATAAGATAAAACTCTCAAGGGAGCAGTTAGTGCAGAGATTAGCTAGAGCTGATCCAAATCATAACCTTGGTAATATTCTTAGAATGTCGGTTTTTAAAAAATAATGTAGTGCATTGGTTCATGCCATCTTCTCAGTCTGTATCCTTACAAGCTTTTATCTTCTTTCAAGCCGCTCTGACAAGAAAGGGCATAAATATATCTTTCCTGCTCACCCTTACTGGGTAGAAGAGAAATGATGAACGTGATATTTCTTGTACTGCACAAATTAGTTAATTAACAACTGAAGATGAAAGTATGGGATTTTGAAATTGTTTAATTCTTCCTCTGTCTGGGAAATACCAACTGGGCTATCTGACACTGCAATTTCCTGATGTATAATGACAGATACTGGGGATCCTGGTTCCAGGTATGCTGCTTTTTATTAGCTAGTAGAAGATTAACTGCACAGCTTCTAGGGATTAAATTTGCTAATTTGCTAGAGGTCTTTTAGTCATGATTTTAGTCATTCTGCATACTGCAGCAATAGCCCAAGTTGTTGAATTTGGTCTTGCTCTGCTATTTTTAAAACAAGTTTGTGTCTTTTGATGGGAACAGTTAAAATGAAACTAGAGAAAAGGAACCAAAAAAAAATTGCTGACCATATTTGTCTGCATTAATAGGAGGACAAAGGTTATGTTTCAGAATAATCTTTGCTTTTTTGCGGTCCAAGATAGTCTAAAAGGTTTTCAGAGCAGGTTTAACCTTGCTTTGATTTATGGATAACTTCTCAGTCCTCAAGAAGCTGTTCTCTTGAGAGGGGATTGATAGGCTTAAGGGATACTGTGATTATGTTCAGTTTCTCTTGACCATCTCTCTCACAAGGTTTGTTGGGAAAGAGCAGCAGAGCACTTGTGTGAGGATTGCCTTGCAGTGTCTTCAAGAGGCAAGTAGAGACAGCTTTTGAGCTGCCGTGGTGGGTTCATCAATTCAACCCTCTCCTCAGATTACTATGGAAAAGTCAATAGAGCTGTTGTCAAGAGAAAGGGGGATAAAAAGCACTGCATCTGAAAAGCAGCAGTGCCATTGGAAAGACAGGATAGGCTGCTGGGTTTACATTTACCAAGGAAAGAAATAAGAATCACAAGATAAAAGGCAGAGGAGGAAGAGGGTGGTGAATGGAGTTAGGTTATACAAGAGAACTGTTTAATTGGAAAGGTTATGTATCCAGAAAACTCTATTTAAATACTTCGGTTATAGATAGTTTAGAAATTAATTAGATATTGTGGTGGTAGATGATTTAAGAGTCCAAGACAAGGTACTGTTGCAACCTTTATTTGGGGAATTCAAGGCTAGGTTAGATACATTTTGGAGAGGAATGTTCTGAAGGTTGCATCTCACAGAATCACAGAATCATTAAGGTTGGAAAAGACCTTTAAGATCAAGTCCAACCATCAACCCAACACCACCATGCCCACTAAATCATGTCCTGAAGTGCCACGTCTCCACATTTTTTGAACATTTCCAGTGATGGTGACTCCACCACCTCCCTGGGCAGCCTGTTCCAATGCTTGACCGCTCTCTCCGTAAAGAAGTTTTTCCTGATACCCAGTCTAAACCTCCCCTGGCGCAACTTGAGGCCATCTCCTCTCGTTCTGTTGCTAGTTACTTGGGAGAAGAGACCAATACCGACCTCACCACAACCCCCTTTCAGGTAGTTGTAGAGAGCGATAAGGTCTCCCCCCAGCCTCCTCTTCTCCAGACTGAACAACCCCAGTTCCCTCAGCCACTTCTCATAAGACTTGTGCTCCAGACCCTCACCAGCTTCTCTGGACACGCTCAAGGACCTTGGCATCCTTCTTGTAGTGAGGGGCCCAAAACTGAACACAGTATTCGAGGTGCGGCCTCACCAGTGCCGAGTACGGGGGCACGATCACTTCCCTACTCCTGCTGGCCACACTGGTTCTGATACATTTGTTACGAGGTCTGTAATTGCTATGACTTTTCCCACAAGTCATTTCAAGGCAATTGTTTTTTAGGCATCATTTCCTATAACTTCAGCAGAGATAGCCTCCGACCATTTAAAAAAAGCTACTTTTTGTTTCATACTATTAAGGTCCAACACCTACTGCAGTAAGGATGTATGTATAGAAGCTCATTGAACACTTCTTCAAATTAGTGCAATTGATTTGCCTTCAGGAAATAATAAATGGAGGAGAAACCAAAGCTATGTTGTTCTTCCTGAACAGATGTTGTACTGATTACGTGCATAATTTTAACATTTAATTGAGGAAAAGGCTCCTTATGTTTAGATTATCAGAAACTGTCTAGAATTTGCAGTCAGTGATACTAGAGTTCATTGCAAGTCTTTTGAAATTCAGAGTATACGTGCAATTTGTATACTGAGATTTGCTTTTGTATCTCAAGGATGTTTTAAAAGCTGTTAAAATGCCAAAATTCAAGCTATGCATAAAACATTCTTTTACCATGTTTGCTTTATGATACAATCTTTAATGATTAACTGCACACCCTGTTTAAGCCAAAACCCAACCCAGTTTACAGCTACGTTTTGGTTCAAAACATTTCACGCTGTTCAGATTCTATCTTTCTCTACGTGTGTCTACATGTATTCTCTCTTTATCTTTCGGAGGCCATAAAGAGAGATGGAAGATAGATGGAATACAGTTATATAGATAAAAATAGGTGACATGAAGGGCGTAATGTGTTTAGTTTGTTTTATTTGATGCACTTATCTCTATCCCTCAGAACCTGAGGTTGCAACTTTTCTAACTATTCCAGTTGTCTTATTTTGAGGGGATGCACTACGAAGAATTGGAGGGTGGAAGGTTGCTTCAGACTAAGTGCTTAAGTTCAGAATAGTTTTTTTTAAATGGTCTTCTCTATGTATGGCTAAACACATGACTAAGAGCAGCATTGATTTCCTGACAATAGATTACTTCTGCTGCAAAACTTTTCTCATCTATGGTCTCCTGCAGGGTTAGCTAATATTGAAGCAACACTGTGTAACAAACCACTAGACACTTCAATAATGTCTCCATTTACTGATCCTAGCAAAATAATTATGTTGATTCTTTTCATGTATAGAGAGGGCTTTTCTTCAGTAAACTTTTTTCTTTCTTTTTACAGATTTCAAGCATGTGTTTATTTTGCATGTGTCTTTCAAGCTATGTCATGTGGTATCCATTACTTAGCATCTGTGTTCATGGCTGTTACTCCTAACTTTTTATGTGGGATCCCTGGAAATGTGAGTAGTGTTCTTTTCTACAACTCCTCTGAATCAAGTATAGAGGACATCTGGACACTATGGACATCAACAGAAAATTACATTGTAGTCCAGCTGGAAAATGGAGAAATTTGGGAACTGAACCAGTGCAGCAGATCCAAACGAGAAGTCAGTTTGGATCTGTCATATGAATACAAAGGCAACAAGTCCATATTTTCTTGTTCTGATGGATTTCTCTATGATGATACAAAGTGGAAGAGCACTGTTGTTACACAGTGGGATCTGGTCTGTGACCGAGAATGGCTGGCAAAATTAATCCAGCCTACATTCATGCTTGGAGTCTTGATTGGAGCAGTGGTTTTTGGTGACATTGCTGACAGGTAAAGTGCCATCCTCTGAAAATTGTAACTTCAGACTGCAGTAACTCTATGCGTATCTACCTGTTTTTGTTGTTTTCCTTTATTGTGTATCCATTGTGTATTCACAATTCAGGAAGTTTGGATATTGTTTGGAACAAATATTGGATATTTGTTCAGGTATGTTTAACTCAATTTCTTTTTCCAATAGCAAGTACTAATTTTAAAATATATTTGCAAATAATTTGCTTTTAGAATTTTTTCCCTACTTCATATCATCCATTGTTCTAGGCATTGATCCCTCAAATTGCCATGTGCAGGTAGCATTTGCCCCTAGATTATTTTTTTCCTTTTTTAATAGGAATAGCAATAGTTAGTAGTAATAGCAACAGTAAAACATGAGAGGAGATTCCTCTCATAGATTTTTATTTCTGGATATGATAGACAGCTGTCCTTCAGCCCGCTCTCCTCCAACACATCCTCCCTGGATATTAGCTCAGATCACACACTGAGATCCAGTGTCAGAACTGGGCTCAGAAGCAATAGTGCGATCCAGGATGTATGTCTATATCCTCCCACTCCTCTTGGTTTTTTCTCTCAACACAAACACATACATTCCTACCTCAGAGAACGCCTAGTTGTACGTGCCCCTCTATCTATATAAGAGTCAAACGCCTAAGCTATGTTGTACTTGATTTTGTCTCAGGCAGTTTATGTGCCTGTGTTTTGCTTTGAAGGCTGGTTTAGTGTTATTTATCCCTCTCTATAAAGGAGCTTGTTGACCAACAGCTCTGTTAGGTGGAGGGTGACATTTTATTCCACAGCTAACTGTATAAACAGAAAAAGGAGAACAGGAGTGTTGTTTTCTGATTTTCCTTCATTAGCACAATGTTACAGTGTGACAGTTACAACATATGAACAAAAAATAAAGATGATCTTTTTTTAATTTGGCTTTTAGAACAAATGGAATCAATCCTACCTCCAATCCAAGGCTTTGTAAAACTGTATTTAATACAAAACCAGAATATAATTCCAACATATGTTCTGCATCCCTTTAAATCATTCACAGCTTTCTTAATTAATACTCAGACATGATTTATAAGGTTATGATCATATTGTTCTCATTTCCATTAATTCAATCCGTGGACAGCCAGTTAAGATGATACACACATTCTGAGTTGCAGATTTACAACTGTAGAATTTACAGCTGAAAGTTACTATTTTCTGACACATCCTGGCTGGTGGGAAATAAGTTTGTGAGTTCCTCCCATTCCCAATTAACAGATTTCCCAACAGAAGAGCTCTGCCAGCTGGGACTCACTGCGATCTCTTCTGGCAGGGATCAGAGACCAAACGTGCATGACCCCAGGTCAGGGTTGGAGAAAAATAGGAGGGCACTGGAAAAAACTATGCCATGTGGCTGTTTGGACTACACTTCCTATTTACAACATCACTTCCCAGGGTTGTTCTAATGTAGTACCAAATATTCACAGAGAAAAACTGACAAACGAGGCCACACACCTGGAAGTCCTCAAACTCTCTGGCTAAACGTAATATCCACATCTGTGAAAAGCTGTTCCCAGTGGAGTAGGTAGTAAGAGTCCAAGAGAAGATTATCAGGGAAGAAAAAAGATTCTGTGCATTTTGTATTACAGAACATCTGTAGACAGAATATAATGAATCTTCAATAGAATGTCGGATATCTACTGCAGATTTCTAGGTTTTCTCCTCAAATGAGCTTCTTATTGATAGCATGTGCTCGCTTGTCTAGGGACAACTGGCTCTACTTGGTGTATTTTCTCAATGAGATACAGGAAGAAAATAAACAAATAGAAGTTCCTTTTCACTAAATGACCTTCTTTTACACTGGAACTTACTATGTTGTTGATGGGAAGCTGGTATTTGACATAATTTTTTTTTTCTGTTAGTATACTAGCTTCTTGGATTTCTGTGTTTGTACATGCATGCATATGTGCTGTGATGCAATCAGAAAATTCAGGGGAACTATGTAATTTTCGTTGATTAGAGAATTCAACTTTAAATAACTGGACAAAGACATGTTACAGAAGCCTTTCATTGCTACCTGAATCGTTTGTTACTTTGGCAAGAGATAGCATATGCTATCACAGCTAACTTTTGTTAGCAATTATTAACTAGACATTACTTAATATGAAATATCTGAAAAAGCGAGGTTTATGTACTGTCCTCATAAATAAGACAGAGCGATAATTTGCGACTAGTTATGTAGAAGTTAAACTTGAAACTGGATGTGACCATATGTAATGCCCACTTCGGCACATTGCTTCCAGCCAAGAATTGTGGGATGGAAGTTCCTTCCGTAAGAAAGAGCTTCCTTTTTCTGGAGTTTAGTTGGAATTACTGAAAAATTAATACAGATAACTAATCCAGAGTTTCTGTGGTGCGTGAAAGCATTAAGTACAGTATCTTCAGACTCCCAGATAAGCTCTGGAGTTACAGGTGTATTTTAATAAATAGATGTTTGTGGTTATTCATAATTTTATTACTGCTGTGTTTTACAGACTGGGAAGACAGCGTGTTATATGGTTCACCAGTGCTTGTCAGTTTGTATTTGGCATCGCCGTGGCCTTCACATTTGGCTACTACAGTTTCGTGATTGTGCGCTTTCTCCTTGCTATGGTAAGAAAGGATATTCACCCTGGCTCTTTTTACGTGTCATTTCCTACTCCTTCTCAGGAAAACTTCCCTTTTGTTATTATTTCCTCCACTACTTCATTATTCTAAAGCCCCCTCTGTTGCACTTATTTCAGCAGAGCAGGGAGAGTCTGAATGTTCTTGGACCACAGCACTTTTCCTCTTTGAATTAATAGAAAGCATCTGTATGAAGCAGTGTTTGGTACTTCCTCCATCCCAACCTCTGCTGGACTGGTAATTAAATACCAAGTGTGAGCAGCAAACTACGGATTCTGCATTGCAGCTGTCATTACATTTCTCCTTATTGTCAGAAATGGAGTATATTTTTCTTAAAATAACAAATCTATAAGAAGTTTGATTCTTACCTCTACCATTTTGAGTGATGGAGGTGAGATGCACATTTCTTCTTCCATGCATCTCTTTGGTCCTTTAAGCTACATCTGGAATACTAAATATATAGGTAGACGTGTTTAACACCTCGATGTTTATACTGTACTTAGGGCTATTCCAGTATATGTGTTTATGTGTATCTATACACATACTTTTATATATGATATATATACAATATCTGATATATATTCAATAATTATACATAGTAACCAATATTAAATTACTATTCTACATCCAAAAGTATAATATTTGTAGTCTTTCACTATGTAATGCATAAAGAAATTAGAATGCTATCACAAGAAAAATTATGTAACTTATTTAAAGTAGGTTAGAAATTTGAAAATAATCACATGATTT